AGGCGAACAGAGGTTCCAGTAGCAGGGGATCCATGTCCTTCATTGACACATGTCCTTCCGTCTACCTCCACTTGTAATAATCCCAAGGGCTCTGACTGGCTTGCATCAGGTGGCCACCCCTGAGTCAATCCCTCTGACCACTAGGATACTCCTATTGACCAGACTCCATTCTCAGGGGGGTGGTGCAGCCAAAACACCAGCTCCCTGGTCTAAAGCAGGCCTGGCACTGGGCTAGGGACTAGAGATGAAAATGAGTAACAAACAGTCCCTGGTCTCTAGTGTGGGTGTGGGGAGAGGGAGTCGGTCAGGCCACTGAAGTGACACAGGTGCTGGAATGGGCTATGGTCTGACAGAGGGAAAGGTTGTTGAGGGGAGGGCAAAAAAGGCTGAAAGTCTTCAGAGAGGAGACAGTGCTTGAGCTTTGACTTGAAAGACCAATGCTTGGCCTTTTCCCAGGCTGAGACAGGCATTCCAGGCACAGAGAACAGCTTGAGCAAAGGCTTCTGGTTGGGATTGTTGTTGTTGTTATTATTAGCTGCCGTGGCATAGGCCCTTGACTCATGACAGCCCTGTGTGTTGCAGAGTAGAACTGTGCTCCATAGGGTTTTCATGGCTGTGATCTTTTTGGAAGCAGTTCACTAGGCCTTTCTTCCACGAAGCCTCTGGGTAGATTCAAGCCACCAACCTTTAGGTTAGCAGCCAAGTGTAAACCACTTGTACGACCCAGGCTCCTGAGCAGAGGCTGGACACATGAAATAGCCTACAGTGTTCTGGGCGTGGGGAGGCGTTTACTTCAAAGAGTGTCCAGTTGAGGGAGCTGGGCTGTACCAGTGAGCGGTGAAGGGTTTGCACAGAGGCCCACCATGGCTGCAGTCTGAAGGCTAGATGAGAGGGGGCCAGACTGGATGCCAGAGACCAGGCGCTGGGCAGCTGGAGCCACGCTCCCTGCAGACAGTGAGTCCCTGCGCTAAGGCAGTAGCAGAAAGGGAGAAGAGAGGCTGCTGGGATGGGAGGCCGAACTAAAGGGATCCAACAGTAATTGGATGTGAGGGGCCTGCAGGAGAGAGATGATTCCCAGCCTCTGGTTCGAGCATCTGGGTGGAGCCTGGTACCCTTGGCCAAGGTAGGAAGCCCAAGAGGAGGAGCAGCTTAGGGGAGGCACTGAGTTCTCTTGGGGGCAGACTGAGTTTGAGGGACCTGGGTGGCATCCTAGTGGACCCCCAGGAGATCTCTGTGACCCCTCCAAAAGGAGGGAGGCAGGGGTACTATGGAAGAGCCCTGAGGGACCTCAACATTTGAAGAGTGGGCAGATTGAGAGAAGCCTGCGCTGCAGACCTTTTGAAAAAGAATGGTCAGAGCGGTAGGAAGACAGCTGAGATTGTGGCTTGCTGAGTGGTGGGTATCGGGCATACGCCTTGTCTGGGAGGAGCTCACACTTCATGTCATAAAGTTAGTAACAGGCAAGGGGTTAGTTTTGCTCATTATTCTTTTAAATAGTACTTTTGTTTTATATTTTATTGGTTTTTAAGCATATGGAACTAAAATCCTTCTTAGGATATGCTGGCCCTCTGTGTCTGGTAATTTGCTTGTCAAAAATATTTAAAAAACAAACAAGAAATGACTAAGTGAAAACCCTCAACTCTGACCTTATTAGGAGGTTAATGTTTTCAACCTTTGCCTGAAAAATGACATCAGACCTCATGGCACTGATGTCACTGTAAAAGCTGAAGGGTGACAGAGGCTCTTTTTTATCCCAGCCATGCACATGGCAGGCACGAGGAGCCAAGACCTGCCCCTTCCTTCTGGAACACACCCCAGGATCATGTCCAGAGGTGGGCTGCAGACACCAAACAGCAGCAAGAGCAATTAGGACCAGACCTTAGGAAGAACTGCCAGATCCTGGGAGAGTGAGGCACTGGGCAGTGCAATTCAGGTCACCCCACTCCAGAGGGTGCACCCTGCCTGGCCCCAGGTGGGGTTCCCCGAGGTGCGGCCTCCAGGAGGAGAAGGGACTGCTTGCTATGATGGTGAGGCTGGGTAGTGGTATGAGTAATGCCTAGGGAGCCAGCTCCGGGACAGCACCTGCTAGTAACCTGGGACTCCCCCTGCCGAGCCCGGTCCTGCTCCCTACGTGTGGCCCATGGGGTATCCTGGCTCTGGGTAGCATCTGGGACCAAGAAGAACCCCAGAATGCATTATGCCAGAATCTTGAAGAGAGCAAGGATCTGCTCCACCGGTAACCTAAGTGGGCCCAGGATACTGGAGCTGGAACACCACTGTCCATTGCACAGACTGTGGGTTCCCTCTGTCCCGCTGTCTACCCAGCCCCCAATCCACCACTGCCAACATGTCCTTCACACGTCCCCTGGAGACAGGCCAGGGCCTCAGAAACCTTCCACCCACTCAAAGTTACTATCTCAAGTCGGCACTCAGGACACAGGCCTCCAGCCCAAGATCCCTGTGCTTCCTAGTGTCTTCATCCTCCACACACCCCTCAGAGGACCGTATCTCAGAAGACTCTCCACAACAGCCCCCATACGGAGATGTCCCATTTTTACAGATAAGGAAACTGAAGCTCAGATAGGTTAAGTAACTTGACTAAGGTCACACAGCATGTAACTGGCAAAGCCAGAAATGCAGAGAGTCCTCCCAGCCCCACCCTCTGAGGGGCCATTAGTCAAAAAGCATGAGCTGGTTATTCAACAATTCTGGACACAATCTGTTTGTACATTTGCATTTTATTTGCATAAGGGGTATCACAACTCATAAATATCTTCCCTACACTGTCCCCACCCTTGCCCAGAGGCAAGTCTCTCTTCTCTTTCCTGCTCTCTCTCTCTCAGCCAGGCTCATCCTCCTTGAGATGCCTGGCGGGCTGGGGAGCACCATATGGTCCCCTCCCTCTGCCAAGGACGCCTTTGCTGGTTCAGAGTGTTCCTTCCCACCGACCACTACACAGTGCACCGAGGCAGGGTGCAGAACTGGGGGGAAACTGCCCAGAGGAGCAGCTGAAGGCAGGGGAGCCCCACTTCTGCCTGCAGGTCTCAGAGCAGGGGCACCTACACTGAGGGTGCAGGAATGGGCAGATGGGGGGTGGTTCCCGAGTGCAAGACACATCCTCTGTCTTCTGTCTCCAGCCTCGGATTTAGCTCCCTTCTCACCTCCCACGTCTGCGTGCCCGCTACTGTCTGGAAAACCTGGAGGCTGGGAGAACTGGGAGGAAGACTGGGATGGGAGATGGTAGGGAGGGGCCTGGAACTCAAGTTCTCAAAGGGAAGGAGAAGAGGAAGGTGCTGATCCCCTGGACGCGGCATGGGTTCAGTTCCTCCTCTCCTTTCTCTCTCACCCTGCAGTGTCCAAAATGGTATGAAAAAAGGAAAGTAAAATACCTCATTAATAATTTTATACTGATTACATATGTAAATAATAACATTTTGGATATACTGGGTTAAATATAAAATTGATTTCACCTGTTTCCTTTTACTTTTTTTTAATGTGGCAACTAGAAAAATTTAAGGAGCTCTGGTGGTGCAGTGGTTAAGCACTCTCCTGCTAATTGAAAGATGGAGAATTCGAACCTACCAGCAAATATGGGGGAGAAAGATGTGGCAGTCTGCTCCCATAAAGATTACAGCCTTGGAAATCCTATGGGGCAGTTCTACTCTGTCCTATAGGGTCGCTATGAGTCAGAATCAACTCGACAGCAATGGGTTTGGTTTGGTTTTGGACTAGAAAATTTAAAATAACATATGTGGCTTGTATTCTGGTTTGCGTTATATTTCTATTACCCAATTCTGTCCTCAGCTCCATCCTCTGGGTCAGGCAGTTGCTGTTATGTAAAATACTTGATGCAGGGAGCTGGGCTGAATTAAGTAGTCCTTTATTATACCTTATAATAAATGACCTTAGGATCCCTGGTGGCACAGTGGTTAAGAGCTTGGATGCTAACCAAAAGGTCTGCAGTTCAAATCCACCAGCCGCTCCTTGGAAACGCTATGGGGCAGTTCTACTCTGTTCTATAGGGTCACTATGAGTTGGAATCGACTTGAAGGCCACTGGTTTGGGTTTTATTATACCTTAGGAGTCCCTGGGTGATGCAAACTGTTAACGTGCTTGGCTGCTAACTGAAAGGTTGGAGGTTTGAGTCCACCTGGAGGTGCCTTGGAAAAAAGGCCTGGTGATCTAATTCTCAAAAAACAGCCATTGAAAACCCTGTGGAGCACAGTTCTGCTCTGACACATGGGTCACCATGAGTCGGAATCAACTCAATGGCAACCGGTGGTGGTGGTTATTATACCTTGGTCTTTTGGCAATACACGCCTAACACCTTTCACCCTCAGAGGGGCAGTGTAGTGTAGGATTAAGAGTATGAACTTGAGAGAGTGGGTTCAAGTCCACGCTTGTTATTTATAAGCTGTGCAACATTGAGCAAGTCAGTTAACCTCTGTGTGCTTCTGTTTCCCATCTGAAAAGTGGGAATAATATGAGAGGCTCTTGGGAAGATTGAGTTAATATGCATAAAGAACTAAAATAGAGTGTTGGGTATACAGGAATTGCTGATATTGCTGAATAACTATTCTTATCTAAAATTTTGAGGCTGCTCCTTTCTATACAGTTTCTTGTGCCAGACAGTATACTATGCTCCTTTGAATGTACTCTTTTACTCACTCCTCCCAATAATCATATTGGTAACTGTTATCCTCATTTCATAGAGGAGGCATCTGAGACTCAGAGAAGTTCAGTAACTTGCCCAAGTCACACAGCTAATTAGTGGGATTTGCACCTGGATCCATGCCACTCTGAAGACTGAACCTTAAACACCACCCTGTGCTGCATCTCTTGGTAAATGCCCACTGAGTTCCCCCTTCCTCTTGATCCAGGTCCCCACCAGCATCAGGAACCTGCCACTCTGAGCAGCTTTCTGCCACAAGGTCACCAGGGGGCCACCTGCCCTTGCATTGCCAGCCTCTACCATGCAGGACAACCTAACACCACTGCCGATGTCAGTCTTCAGCCGGCCGTCAGAGACAACCCAAGACCAGTCCTCTGCTGCAGGCCAAGCCACGAGCACAGCCCCACAGCCCGTAAAGGCCACAGTTGTGACACCTCCCATCAAGTCCAAGGGCCTGAATACATCCAATGTACGTCGGATGCGCCGGATCATCGCCGAGGACGCCGAGTGGTCACTGGCCATCGTGCCCCTGCTCTCAGAGCTCTGCATTCAGCACATCGTCAAGAACTTCCAGAGTGAGTCAGCCCCTGTCTTGGGAGGGAGGGAGGCCATGAGTGGGCAGCATGGTTGAGTACTGCCTGGAGCCGAGTCTCAGAGGCTAGGTCCTGTGCAGTGGCATCACTAGGGGAGGGCAGAGGGTATGAACTGCACCAGGTGACACTGTCGGTGGGGGGGGGGTGACACCAAAATAACTGTGTATAAAATTTCTGTGCAGTGTTTCAGCAGAAATTAATTATTGTTTATAAAAATATCCCTGTAGTTAGTCATAACAACAAAAAATTTTTTCATAAGACCAGCTTACATGTATCAATATACCTACAAGACTAAAACTCTATGCTAATTTACTTTTTGAACCTTCTAATGCACTCTGGTCAGAGGTGTCATTACTACCCAATTACAATGATGGTTTGAATCACGTGGTTTCGTCTGTACGCACTACAAGCACACACTGTTGTTTTCATTGCTGCCAGCACTAAGGATTCTGTTTGGTCGGGTATGGGAGGAGGTCTGATGGGGGGCAGCGGTGACACCATGAGTTACCACACTGGGTAGCACCAACCCTAGTGACACCACTGGTCCTGTGGCAGCCCCTGTCCTCATTCTCACTTGACACTTCCCTTCCACACAGGCCAAACAATCCAGCCCTCCTCCTCCAGAAAGCCCTCCCTGCTTAGCATCCTCCACTCTGACGGAGTCTTCCATGTCATGTATGGAATGTTAATGTTATATAAATGTAACTGTTAATCCTTTCCAAAAGATGAGTTGCTAGCCTTGCCTGTCAGATGGGGAGCTCTCTGAGGACAGGGCCATCATTTTGTCTACAGCATCTATCACCACCTGACCTCAGATATATTCGTTCACCTACTTGTTTATCATCTGTCTCCCCTCACTAGAATGTAAACTCCAAGAGGGAGGGCATTCTCTGTGTTGTTCACTGTTGTATCCGCAGCACCTGGAACAACGCCTGGCACATAGTAGGTGCTCAAAAATATTTATTTTGAAATGAATTAATCAAATCAGATTGGGAGCCTCTGAAGTCAGGGATTGTCTCCCCATCGTACTGGATGATAATTGACGGTTCGACCTGAGATTCCTCCTTAGACTGGGAGGTCCCAGAAACCAGATGCTGAGGTGTCCCCCTTCCGGCAGGGAGCAGCACCCCAAAGCCAGGGGCTGTGTCTCCCTCCTCAGGTTGAGTCTCCCTGAGAGGAGCCGCTGTCTCCTCTCTCAGACCGGGGCTTCCCTAAGGGCAGGGGAGGGTCTTGTCTTTCCTCAGTGGCTCAGCCCAGGGCGCCATGTTGTAGTGGCCCCAACACTGTGACCCCTGCTTTCCTTCCTCTGTTCCCAAAGACAACCCTATCCTGACACAGCTGCTCCCCGAGGATCAGCGGAAGGTCCTGGACCACCTGTCTCCAGACCTGCCGCTAACCGTGACCGCCAACCTGATCGAGAATGAGAACTACTGGCGCCGCTGCTGCACGCAGCGCTGGCCAGTGTGCCACGTGGCCCGGCACGGCGGCAGCTGGAAGCGCATGTTCTTCGAGCGGCACCTAGAGAACCTGCTAAAGCAATTCATTCCGGGCACCACAGACCCCGCGGTCATCCTCGACTTGCTGCCACTCTGCAGGAACTACGTGCGCAGGATACAAGTGGATCAGTTTCTTCCGCCGATTCGGCTTCCACCCCCGCCCCGGGACGGGGACCAGTCGGACTCCGGTAGCGAGGGAGAGATGGAGGAGTCCTCCACCGACCATTACCAGCTGCGTGACCTGGTGGCTGGCCTGAAACACCTGGAGGAACTAGACCTGGTGTACGGTGTCAAGGACTGTGGCATGAACTTCGAATGGAATCTCTTCCTCTTCACCTACCGCGACTGCCACTCCCTGGCGGCCACCATCAAGGCATGCCACACCCTCAAGGTACCACCTGCCGGAGCCTTCCCCCACCACCCCTTCTCAGTTTCTCTACGATGCCCACTCCCGTCTTCTTCCTCCACTGTCACCTTCTTCTTCCTCCCATTTCCTTCTCCTTGATTAACACTGGTTTTTATGCACACTGCACCAAGCTAGATTCTGGGGTTACAGAGATAAATAAGGCACTGCCCTTCCATCCACCAGCCAACAAGGTCCTGTCCTAGGCGCTGAAGATACAACAATGAGCAAATTTATACCATTGGTGCCTTCTGGAGTTGACAGTCTGGTAGGATGAAAGATATTAATCAAATAATCATAGAAATGCAAGATTGAAACTAGGATAGGGTTGCCAGATTTAGCAAATAAAAATGTGAATTTTAGATACACACCGAATAACTTTTTAGTATGAGAATCAGCCAGTGAAAACCTTATGGATCGCAACTGTCCAGTCTGCAACCAATCACAGGGATGGCACAGGGCTGGGCAGCATTTTGTCCGTTGTGCATGAGGTGGCTATGAGTTGGGCGCCAACTCTAGCATATTTCACAACAACAACATGTCCTAAATATTGCATGAGGCATACTTGTTTACCTGAAATTCAAATTTAACTGGGCGTCCTGTATTTTATCTGGCAATCCTAAACTGGGATGAATGCTATAAAGAAGAAAAACTCTTATGAGAGATCATAAAAGATGGATTTGACCTTGCCAGGGAAAGCTTCCCTGAGCAAGTCTCACTTAAGTAGAGATGAGAAGGAAGAGTAGGAGTTATAGTATTAAGGAGAGAGGGAAGAATATTCCAGGCAGAGGGAGCAGCACATACAGAGGCTCTGAGGGCAGAGTGAACGTGGCAAATTCAAGGGGCTGAAAGAGAAGGCTAGTGTGGCTGGAGCCAAGGGGGTGAGATGAAAATGAAGAAGCAATAGTGGCCAGACTCACTGGGCGAAGGAAGGCCTTGTTAAGGAGTCTGTCTTTATCCTTAAGAGCTTTGGGACACCATCCAAAAGTTTTAGGCCAAAAGGAGGTCACGCTATTTCATTTTTCATGTGAAAATATCTCTCTCCTTATGATGGAGAATGGCTGGGGCAGGGTCACACTGGACATGGTAGGTCATCTGGGAGATCATGGTCAAATCCAAGTGAAGATGAGGGTAGTTTGAATAAGGGTGGTGTCTATGGAGACTGAGAGAAGTGAAGAGATTAAAGAGATATTTAGGCAGTCAAATCAACTGGCCTTCCTGGCATAAGGAGGATCTGGAAGAGAAGGTGAGCTTAACACCAAGGCTTCTGGCTTATGAGGCTAGATGGATGAAGGGGCTATTTGCAGAGACTGGGAATGTGAAAAGAGGACCAGGTTTGAGGAGGAAGGCCATGAGTTCAGTGTCACGTTTGAGGTAGCTTTGAGACATCCCAGAGAAGGAGCTAATTTCTTGGTTGGGTAGATGGGTCTGAAGCTCAGGTGAGAGGTCTGACTTGAAGGTAGAAAGGGAAGCCATCGTCTTCATGGAGGTGGCAGTTGAAGCCCTCATGAGGGAGAGCCGAAAGTGAGACGAGAAGAGACCTAGTGGAGGGTAGCAGTATTGGTGGGTTTGTGTTTGGTGTCAGGAACATGAGGCGTTCCCATCCAGTGGCTGCTCATTCCCCTGTAAATGATGAGGGGAGTTCACCTGCTGCAAAGGGGTGCAGGGGGGGCATCTGCAGTTTGAGGAGGCTGGGAAAAGCTGAAATAGTTGTTGCATATTATGAGAGACTAAGTTGGCCAGAGAGCTATAGTTGGGTTGGCATATGGCATTGAGGGCCAATTGGTAGTTGGAGATAATAAATTACCAGTGATGCCAACAAGCCCTGCCACGTGACTTTTTTTCACTTGGGCACAGATATACAAAAAATAGAGAGTGGGGTTGATCCAGGGTTGGGATTTTGCCAGACAGATGCATGAAAAAACAAGAGGGACAGAAGATTCTAAGCTGGCTAAAAGGGATGCAAATAAAGGAGAGGACTGAAGGATAGATGCAGAGTAGAGAGGAATAGCTACCCAGAGATCTCAAGAGAGAGTTGAGAAGTAGAACAAGTCAGCGGGAAGGAGAAGGGTAGGGACTCCTCTCCTCTCATCTACAATATTCATAACACTAGTCCCATCCCTTCTTTTATTCCCTCATCCCATCTGTTTCCTGCCTCTCATCTTCCCCACTTTCTCCCTGGTTCTCACCCTGGCAACCTCCTTCAAAGGATTCCTTTCCCTGCCATGGTGGATCTCAGCCAGATGACAAGGGCACATTGAAGGGTTGGGGATTCAAAACCTGCCTCTGTCCCTTGATCACTGTGTGACCCTGAGCAAATGATGTAATCTCCCTAAGCCTCCATTTTCTGTCTGTAAAATGGGGAGAATTTGCCTTACCTCAATGGGATGCTGAGAGTTAGAAATAACAGTTATGAAATGTTCTAGCAGTATGCCCAGCACATAGTAATGGCTCACTCAGCCATGCTGGGTAGGCATACCCAGCCCAAGAGCCAGCCAGATGGCCAACACCAGGCGAGCAGAGTCTCAAGCCTCCACGTGGCTCCCTCCTTCACCTGCCTTCTGCGGTGGGCAGGCAGATTCTCCCCAGCCAGTGGGTTCTGCAGACCCTCTAACTGCCTGCAGGTCTTCAGGCTGACCCGAAGCAGGATGGACGACGACAAGGCACGCATCCTGATGCGCAGCCTTCTGGACCACCCAGCCCTCGAGGAGCTTGACCTGTCACACAACCTCATTGGAGACCGTGGCGTGCGCGCCGCTGCCAAGCTGCTGAGCCACAGCCGCCTGCGTGTACTCAATCTGGCCAACAACCAGGTGCGTGCACCAGGTGCCCAGTCCCTGGCTCACGCCCTGGCACACAACACCAACCTCGTTAGCCTCAACCTACGCCTCAACTGCATTGAGGATGAGGGCGGCCAGGCCCTGGCCCATGCCCTGCAGACCAACAAGTGCCTCACCACCCTCCACCTCGGTGGGAATGAGCTGTCGGAGCCCACTGCCACACTCCTCTCCCAGGTGCTCTCCGTCAACACTGTGCTCACCAGCATCAATCTGTCCTGCAACCACATCGGCCTGGTGAGCCACCACTTCTAGAGCAGACAGGGCCAAAGAGCTGCCCTGAGACTTTTAGGGGGTGGTTAGTGCAATCCAATTGCCATGGGGTACTTGCAGGATAATTGTTAAGATTATAGACTTTGCCTAGTTTCAGTTGCAGCTCTGCCATTTAGCTCTTGGGCAAATTACCTAACCTCTCTGGGCCTCTATTTCCCCATCTGTAAAATGGGGATAACAGCTGCAACAATGGGCTCAAACATACCGACAATTGTGAGGATGGCACAGAATCAGGCAGTGTTTCGTTCTGTTCTACGTAAGGTCGCCATGAGTTGAACCCAACTTGAGAGCAACTAACAACAGCAAATGGGGAAAGTAATAACACTGCCTCCGTTTAAGTGTTGTTATTGGGAGAATTAAATGAGTCATACTTTTAAGGCAACCATTGTAGGGCACTGGGTGAGTCTTCAGTAATTACTAGCTGTTATTATAACTCAGGGTGACATACTACGCTGGTACCCAATATCCACTGTTTTTCTGTTAATCCTGAGTTATCTGGTAAGATGCATATTATTAACTCCACTTTACAGATGGAAAACTGAGCCTCAGAGAAGTTAATGAGTTTCCCAAGAGCATCCTGTCAGTAGAAAGTGGCAGAGCTGTCTACTTCCAGTAAACAGTGTGTTTCAAACTTTCCTGACCAAGTCCTGGAGTAAGAAATGCAATTTACATGACAACCTAGCGAACAGATACATAAAATATAATTGAAACTTACCTTTACTGCTTGTGATATATGCTGATGTTTTATATTCACATCCTTTATATTCTACTCTATTTCATTTTTTAAATGCTGTTGTGGCCCATTAAATTGATTTCACAACCCATTATTTGGTCATAACCATAAAACAACAGCATCCTGCCTTCTAATATGAATTTTTTTCACATTGGGCCTAGCCCACCCAACCCGGAAGGGACTAGAGCTGTGGGGACTAGCGATGAGGGCCCTCCCTGTACCTCTAATTAGACCCTGCACCCTCTACTGCACCTCCCCCATGGGAACAGTCTTACACACACACACACACAGTATCTCTAGAGGGGGTGCTTTTGGCTACAAGTAACAGGAAGCTCAACTAGGAAATGGCTTAACCAAGAGGAATACTCACTACCTCCCATAAGCAGAAGCTCCAGGGTAGGGGGTCCTGAGATTGGTAAATTCCATGGCTCATGCCATCCCTCTGCTCTGCCACCTCAGCCACATGGCCATGGTCTCTCTGGTGCTCCTCCCACGGTCTCAAGACAGCTCCCGCACTACTAGCATCTCACTTGGAGGACATGCCCAGAGGTAGAAAAAGAAAACACTCCCCTATTTTGTTCCTTTGTTCAGAGTGAGGATAACTTTCCCAGAAGCCGCCCGCTCCAGACTCTCCTCTCATATCTCGTTAACTAGATTTGTTTCACATCTAAGGCTAAACCAGTCAAGAGGAATGGAATTACCATCATTGCCATAGGTCCATATTTTCCAATCCTTTGAGGGGTTGATAAATCAGTTTGAGCGAGTCTTGGCCACCATTTTTCAAATGAGATGGGATAGTATGGGATGTCAGTATATGACACAAATAGGTTAAGTATTGTTTTGTGAAACTTTTGCCTCAGTCGTATCTATATACAGACGTGTGTGAGTGGGTATACACATACTCGTGTGTGTGACCCAGGTAGTGATATAAAATGATCGCTTCCCATCCATCCCTCCCCCTCTGCCAGGACGGTGGGAAGCAGCTCCTGGAAGGGATGTCAGACAACAAGACGCTCCTGGAGTTTGACCTGCGCCTATCAGATGTGGCCCAGGAGAGTGAGTACCTCATCGGCCAGGCCCTCCAAGCCAACCGCGAAGCAGCCCGCCAGCGGGCTCTGAATCCCAGCCACTCCATGTCACCTACCACCAGTGGCCCCGAGAACTCCGCAGGATGAGATGGGGATAAGGCTGGGGGTCACTGCCCCAGCTCTCATTTTATCCGCCAGCCATACCTGCTGCAGAACTTCACACTGGTCCAAAGGGAGGGGGGAAGGAGACCATGTATATCCTTGGGGTGAGTGATCAAGAGCTGTGTGGGTAAAGATGTGAGGAGAGGGAGGAGGGGCTATGAAGTGGTGACCCATTTCCTGTGCCCAGGGAGGGTAGAACTGGACCCCCAGAAATGACCAACTTCTTTCAGGAACAGGGAAAAGAGAGAGGGCTCTGAGGGACTGGGCATGACTAGACTCTGATGGGGACTGACTGTTCTCCCTGACCCCCCTCCCCAATATCTTCCTCTCTACTGAACAGATCTTTGACCTCTTAACCTTCAAACAGACACACACATACCTCAGGCTGCACCAGAGCCTTCCACCCCAGAGACGGTGAGGAGAGGGGGGAGTCAGTGCCACACTGGGGAGTCAGTGAGTCATCCACAACTTTATTATCCACCAGTTTGATTTGTACAATCTTTGCGCTTGGAAATCCACAACAGAAAGGCCACAGTGTGATGCACCCAATTGACAGAAACCTGTCTCCTCCCCAGCCAGGCCCAGCCCACTCCACAAGCCTTTGTCCCCAGGACACATGGAACCTTCCAGGTGCCCTCCATGAGTCCCCGTCACCCTGTGGCTGCCAGCACAAAGCCCACACTGGGCCACACCACAGGAATCCTGTCAACTCTTAGGGGCCGCATGAGGACCTGACTGATAGATTCAGGCTGAGCCCCATCCTCCATCCTCCTTGGGCTGAGGGGCCCAGAGCCTCCAGATCTATGTTCTTGAAGGGTGGGTCATGGGCTGCAACCACAGCCCAGGGGTGCCTGCCATCCGGAGACTCCTTCCAACAAGCAGGCACCGAGCAGAGCACCAGAGACGGCTTGGGCGTGACTGCATGTGTGTGCCTGTCCGGGCCACCTAGAGTCTGACTGTCTGTGCCTGACTCCATCTGACAGTTCCGGAGTGCAAACGTGTGTGTGAGGGTGTGTGTGTGTGTGTGTGTTTGTGTGTGTGTGTGTGTGTGTGTGTAGCCACAGCTGCTAGCAGAGGTCCTAATTAGAGAAACAAGAACATTCAGTGTAAAGTTTAATTTTAGAGATTAATTAATTTTCTGGTTTTAGTTTTCCCTGGCAATCAATAAAGCTACCAAGAAAATAGAATAGGTTTCTCTCTAAGTCTGTGTGTGTGTGGGAGGTGAGTCTGTGTGAGAAGACTGAGGCAGAAATGGTCAATACAGGCAAAAATTATAATAGGGGTCCCCCTTCCCCTCCTCCCAGCCCGGGCTCTGTCTCAGGAACAGACTTGAGGGAAGAGGAGCTGAGTTCCTCCCTCCTTGGAGCTGTGAGGTGGCCAGGCTGCCTCCACAAAAGAACATGATATTCAGGTGCCAGCTGGCCTAGAACTGGGGCCTGAGGCTGCGGCTCACCACCTGTACCTCACAGATGTCCATTCAGAGGGAAGAGGGGCACTCCAACTGCCAAGCGCCTTGAGAAGCACAGACTCAGGTACAGGTGCACCAGTACTGGTAGGCAGGTGAGCACTGCTGCCAGTGAAACCTGGTGGGCAGCTGTCCCTCTGCCTGAGCCTCCTCTTCTCTAGCTTTCCCTCCCTTCGTAACTCAACCCCCTGATAGGCCAGGGGCTGTGGTATCCCCACAATTTGTGCCTCCCCGACCCCCTACCCGGGGAAGGAGGGAAGGGGAGCCAGAGGAGATGTTGCATAGGTGGAGGCCACACCCCTTGGCAAAGCGGAACCTGGCTGGGCTGGAGAGAGACAGGAAAGGCTGAAGAAGCGGGGAGGAACTCTGATGGCTCAGACAATGTGAGAAGCATGGGGGTGAGCAATGCCCAGGTGGCCCAAGGGTTACCCTGTCAGCTTGAAATGTGAGCTCAATCCCTGGGTGCTAAATCTGCTGGGAAAACTTTAGCCAGGGGCATGACGGGGCAGAAAGGCAGCACATCGACATGAACACTGAAGCACACTGGGGGAGGAGGGCACAGGGGAGAAAAGGGGGCTTCAGAGCTTTGGGGAAACAGGACCTGGAGCCAGCGCCCTGGGGTGGCAACAGGGTGTCCCTCTGAAGACTTTAGGACACCCGGCAGGGCTTCAGCTCATTGAGTAAGACAAAGGGAGGAAGAGAGAGGGGTCAGGCAAAATTTAGATAATTCCTGCCTATGACCCTGCCACTGGAGTTGAGTATTTCTCCAGTTCAGGCTTATAGCAACACCCTCAGCCTTACAGAGGCCAGAGTGAAGGGCAACCACTCTCCACTCCTCTCCACAGTGGGGAAGAGAGGGCTGCCCCCCACAAACCACTCCATTTTTAAAGGAGTGGTTTACTTCACCCTCTACTCATCTCTTCCCTTGGTCCCCCCTCCTTTTACTCCCACCTGTTTCCAGAGTTCCCTGTTGTCACCCAGGTCTGTCTCATGCTCTGTTCCCTCATCATTCCCCCTGAGTAGCTTTAAGAAATGTTACCTGGGTGGCATCTCAGCCCCTCTGAAGGAGTACCCCCCCCCCCGCCAGAACCCAGGTGAGGAGGCTGCTGCAGGGAGGCTGATGAGTTTAGAGACAGGACGGAGGTACACAGCCCTACACATTTCACCTCATCCCTCCCCCTTCACCCTGGCAACAGCCCTTCCAAGCCAGCGAGCAGGACGTAAGTGCTATCTGTGTGGTGAGCACAGTCTTCACGGGACCCCTGGGGCCCAGTGAGATAAACAACAGTGGAGGGAATGGCAGAGAGGAAACCCCGGTTACTTGGGCCAGCGCCAAGAAGAGAAGGAAAACATTCCATGGAGTTGGAATGGAGTGTCGGGGCTAACACCTGGTCCCAGACCTCAGACCCACTGAATTCCGAGCTGGTTGGAAGCCAGTCCTGCTATTCAGTAGACCACCCCCTTGCCTCAACTGGGAGAGGCCCCAGTGTGGCGAGGCAACCGAGAAAGGAAAGCCCCAATTCCCCTTCCCCACAGCCTCTACGCCTAGCCAGCTGCACACCGAGAGCCTCCCATTTGAGATGAGGCCCACCGCGGGTCCCACATCTCAGTCGCCACATAACAGTTGGAAGATCCGTTGAAAGGCTGGCTGGACGGGAAATCTCGAGTGTGTGCAGGAAGGGAACGTATTCCCTTAGGAAATCAGGAGTGGAGCTGAAAAAGGCGACTCTTTGCTAGGGTGGGATTCTAGGGAGCTGCCAACCTCCCCCACCGACCCACCCACCCATCTGTCTCTATGTACAGGGAAGGCGGGGGTTTCGATCCCGGTCCCATCGGGGTCTGTCCAGTGAGCCTCACTTTCCTTCCTCCCCGCCCAGCACAGCGTCAGTCAGCCATCAGCCATCGTGACTCCCCCTACTACACGCAGGAAGCACAGTCGGGCGAGGGGCAGGAGGGAGGAAGGCGCGGGCCTCTCTGGAGGCCAGAGGTCACAGCGAGGTCTCTACGCAGGAGCCATGGCGGTGTAGCGGCCGGTGGCTGTGACCCAGACACCCCTCCTGCCGGTGGACGATGAGGACCGGGAAGTAAAGGGCGTCGTGGTAGGGCGGCGGCGGCCCGGCCTCCTCCTCATCGTCGTCCTCGTCGTCCCCCATGCTAGCCTGGCTCGACAGCCGCGTCTGCTCCGTGGGGCAGCTCGCCTCGTTGACGCTCCCGCTCCGGCTGCGCCACAGGCAGCTGCGCCGGGACCCATAAAGGCGACCGAGCGAAAAGCGGCTGCCCCCGCAGCCAGCGCCCCCGCCGGGCCCTAGGCCGGCCCGCGGGCTGGCGCAGATGCTCAGGGCGCTGCGTGAGAAAATCGATGAGCTGCTAACCGCGCGCTGGCAGTGCTCGCAGCTGCGGCGGTACGGGGCTACGCCCGCCGCGCCCGGGCCGCCCACCCCGCCGTAGCGGCACGTGGGCGCATAGCCGCCGGCCGCGCCCCCCGCGCAGCGCGCCCCTAGCCCCGCCAGATCCATGAGTACCGCCTCTGAGTAGCTCGGCACCAGCTGCTGGTTGGAGCGGATGTGCCACTCGAGCTCCGTGCTGTCCACCGTGTTGACCCGCGGCAGGCGGTGGGTGAGCGGGGGCAACAGCTCATCGCTGGGGCTCAGGCCGCCGCCCGCGCTGCTCGCCGAGCCCGGGCCCTCCAGGCCAAAGAGCTTCTCCACGTGGTAGTGCGCGTAGGCCGTGCGGTACTCGGCCAGCACGCGCAGGGGCCACGACAGCGTGAGCAACGCTGCGGCCCAGAAAGCAGACGAGCAGGCGTACCACGGCGGCCGGGCCGGGTCCGGAAAGGCCACCATGAACTCGCGGAAGTCCACGTTCTTTAGGTGCATGCCCTCGCGCGCCTCCATATAGTCGTCCAGGCCCTCGTTCTCTGCAAAGAAGCGCGCGCGCTGGCAGAGGTACGCGTTCTCAGCCTCCACGCTGGCGAAGCTGAAGCACTTAGTGAAGCGCAGTCGCGTGGCCGGCGCGCCCTCCAGCCCCACCAGCGCCTTGGACACGTCGCGGACGCCGCAGCGTGCGTAATCAAACTCGGCCTCTGCCACGTGCGTGTTGACGCGCTCATGGTAGACCTGCGGCGAGGGTGAAGGTGGCAGGAGTTGCAGGGAGCTAGCACCTCGGTGCCCTCTTCTATCTGCTCACCCTTGCTGCTCCCATCACTGCCCCTGTGCCCTGGTCAAACCCTAATCCTGCCCCTGGGAACAGAACCCTTAAGCCGCGTAAGATCTTATCCTCTGATTTAGAGCGAAACTGAGGCCCTCATCTTAATCAGTGAATTAGAGATGAGGCCAGGACTAGAAGAACTTCCTGTGAGCACAGTAACTTTAATTAAGCTCAGCTTTCTCTGGGGGTCAGACCCTGGCTTGCCTGACCCTTTTGCCACTGCCTCATTTGTCCCATTCTGCTCCCTCCTCACCACAAACAGCATGCTCCCGTTCCCTTTTAGAAGTGTGTTTCCAATGGGCTCTCTAGAGGA